TCTTTGGTTTCAGAGATAAATACTAGCCACAGGATCCACTAAACTGAGCTAACTCTAGACCAAGTCCACCAATAGACTGAACAGATCTGTTACTCTCAGAGGAGAGTAAGGGCAGGTGATCAGTTATTCTTGTCTTAGGTTCCTGTTTGCAGTCCAAGATTTCCTACTTCTGAGCATCAAGCACTTTTCCTACAGACCTCTGCCCAGCACTTTTTCAGATTGCTTCTTCACTGCATCCTGGCTCTCTCTCCCTTCACAGCCACTGCCTTGCTGTGTTCCTCTTCTCTACCATATTGGTACATTCTTCCTTTGCTCCAGTCCTGCTGTTCCTATCAGTTCTTTCTTGACCACTCACAGTGACCTCTCACCTCTTCAATCTTCTGGGAATGATAACATAAGGGTCCTAGCATATTTTCTGGTTCTTTCATATGTCTTTGTTATGTCTCTCCAGCAAGACAGCATTCCTGCCCCTCCTCTGCCCCCCACTGACAGTCCTGGGGCTTGAATTAGGGCCTGGGCACTATCTTGAGATTTCTTTTGCTCAAGACTAGCACTATACCACTTGAGCCACAGAGCCACTGTGGGCTTTTTCTGTTTAGGTGGTACTGAGGAATCAAAGGCAGGGCTTCATAATACTAGGCAAGCACTTTACCACTAAGCCACATTCCCAGCTCTGCACCTAAGTTCTTAAGGCAGGACTTGGTACCCCCTAGAGTGCCAAGCACAGGGTTTGATGAACATACTACTACTTAGGGTAGTATTATAATACTACCCAATATTCCCTGAAGCATAATACTACTTAGTGACCTGGCAACTCAGAGGAAAAAAGTAGACCATGACAAATGTCGGATGACATACACACATATTTGCAAAACCAATAGGCCAAACACACTCTGAAACCCTAAAGACTACAAATCTCATCTTCAGAAAATCCATATTACACATCCTCATTCCTAGGGAAACCCCTGTGCATTCTTTGGCTTAGATAAGTTAGGGCCTCAGAAATCAGTGCCCAACCTGGGAACTGGAGTGACACCAAAATGAGGTAGTCATAGAATGCGGCAGGCTGGTAGTGTGGTACAAAACATAGCCTGTGTGTACAGACTGTGTGAGAAGAGTTAGACTTCCTGACTGTAACAAACCAGCAAGTTCAGGGGCACCTGGAAGACCACAGGCAGTATCCAGGAATAAAGCTAGTGAGAGGACCCTGTCGTACAGCAAGAAAGTTCCTCACCAACAGGAATCAGTTAGCACTTCTTGCATATACCTCTACTGTTCCTAAGAATCCATCTGAGGAGTCTTTTCTAGGAGTCTCCAGTATCTCCCTCAGCTGAGTCATCAGCCTTGGCCCACTATCCTCTCTTATAGGAACAAAGAAAATGACAATAAATGGAAAACAGACCAAACAAACCCCCACAGGGCAGCACAATGTCCACCTCATCCCCCAGGAATTCACTTTTTTTTCAAAGACTTATACTCTATAGAGATGGAAGAGCTAGCTGAGCCCAAAAGAAAAGTCATAGATTTTTCCAGAAAAGCCAGTTTCTAAGTTAGAAACCAAGCTGCAGAATGTGGGGTTATCTGGCAACAACCCTGTCCTTGCAGTGGAAGTAAACAACTGCTTTCTAAATGACTCATGTAGAAACCTTACCCTCTTACCTTGGTTCTGTCTCCTATTATTTGGGAGAAAATCCATTTAGCTATCACTAAAGAGCTGATCCTGGATACTTTGTGCTCTTGTTTTGGCAGGAGGAGGCAGAGATGAATGAGGTGGTGTGAAAGGAAAGATGGAATAGACTTAATTCCTGGGTACAGGCCTGCCCCGTTCCCACCTTGTGGATCTAGTTTCCCAACTAGGTGGCTTAGGGCACAAGGAGGCATGTGGTGGAAGCCATTCAATGACTCTAAGGCATTTTGTTTGGTTTTGCCAATCCCAGCCTAGTCTGGTCTGCTCCCCTTGCATGTGGACTGGAGAGAGGACTCACCACAGGTTGAGCATTTTCAGGCAGCTACAGAGTATGTAAAGAGAAAAACACAGAAAGGAAGAGAGAGAAAGAGATATTAGTCCACAGAGGTGAGATGGAAGGCACGCCCTGCGAGCCATGCAAACATGCAGAATGTGTCTGTGTTTAGTTTCTTCCTGTTGAGCGAGGGTGAGCAGGCCACTGGGTCCCCACGTGGAGGTCGAGGGGAGGGACACTGACAGCATTAAGTTGGAAGCTGGGTTTCAGTGGGAAGACAAAACAGAAAAGAAGGGGTGGGAGCCTCAAGCGGGCTTTGCTAGACAACTTCCAGGAAGGCAGCTGGGAAAGGAGCAAAATGACCTTCCCTGTGAGAATTTCATCAAGCACCAAACCTGAGTCATTTGGTCCCAACACAAGGTGGGGGCAAGAAGTTATACAGGGCTGAGGCAACCTCCCTATTCTAAGAGAAACCTATCCCTAAGTTTTTTTTTTTTTTTAAGCACAATATGCCTGAGCAAAGCAGCTAGTGGTTAACTCCTCCAGTAGAGGGAAAAAGTTTAAGAGACCATTGTATTTTATCAGAAGATGAAGCAGAGGAAGGTTGGGTATACCTAGCAGAGAAGGAACTAACGTCTATGCTTATTAATTCTCTGGAGAAATGAGACCTCGATTTGTTAACTTATAACTGAAGTCTGGATAAGAAAAATGCCTATGTTCTTACTAGAATCAAAATCACCCAAAGAGCTGCCTGCCCTTACCACTCTTCCAACTATACTGTAGCTGTCCTGCAGCTGGAGAAACAGGAAAGTCAAAGAGTCATCTGATAACCAAGACCCTGTCATTTCTTTTCACCTTTACACAATACAAGCTGGGTGAGGAAACCCAAATCAAAAGCTTGGAAGTAAAAGCTTCAGTCTCCCCAATACCCAAGCTGAACTGAAATATGGGTAACACCATTATTAACCTCTTCCCTCCCAGGGCCAGAGGCACAAATGGCATCACAGCTATGAGCAATGAGGCGGATGCCTCAGGATTTTCTAGCTGTGACTTCTTCCCAGGAAAATGATCAGACACATGGCTATCCTGTTCTTACCCCCATACACACAGAAGGCCAAGAAGAATAACACATCTGAGTCCTGACAGTTCCCTAAGCAAGATGAATTGGCAACTTATAAAACCAGTAGGGAATCCGCACACAAAATGCCCTAAGCAAATGCAACTGCTTCTTTTAGCCTCCACACCTTTCCAAGAGCCAAACTTCCAGCTGGTGGCAAAGAGACCAGTGGTTCTATTTGCTAAATGGAAAGAATTTAACCTCCTTTCATATTTCAGATGGTAGTGTGCAGAATACACTGCGTTAAACTTTGTATGAATGATCCTCTATCTTACACACAGGACAAACATCACACTCACATACAAAACTAGTGTACACGTTTGTCAGGATGGAACAAAATGAAAGCGTCCAAGAAATAAGCCTGTCTAGAGCATATCATATTACTAAAAGATCCCCTTGGTCTTGTTATTATTCAAAGTATACCATGAAACTCTCTCAGAGGACTAGACTAGATAAAGTTCTAAAAAGAGCTACAAATATAAATTGGGGGTTGGTACAGCTCTCTTTCATGATCACGGCATGTGTGGCACAGTGGTTCTAACTTGGCTATATAACAGAATTGTGTAAACTTCTAAATTTTTTGATGTTCAGGCCAGATACCAAAACTTCAAGTCAGAATCTCTCAGGCATTTCTATTTTCTAACCTGTCCCAGGTTACTCTAAAGCGCAGTGAAGGTTAAGAGCCCAGAGGTGGGAGCATCATATTGCTAGTAGCGGAGCATGACAGAAACATTTTGAGTCCTATTAAAATCTCCAAAGTCTCTGAGAATATGGAGCAAGTTTCTTTACTGAAAAACCTGGGGCACCACTCTCGCTCCTCGCCTGCCTCAGATATTAGTGCCTCTATGGGCCAGGAGAAGAGTATCTGAGCAGGAGCTCAATAAGAGCCCAAGTCTTTCTCAGTTGCTTCTCATCTGTTGGATAGGACTTCCTGAAGGCAAAGCAAGCTCACCAAATAGATGGGCAAAAGCATGCAAAATGTATCTGGGAGGAAGAACTCAGCTCTTGGTAGGCATCACTGTGGACTTAAGCCCAAAGGTGGCTTGTATTTGGACTATATAGGTGCTCAAGAGACCATGTAGGGCACACTAGTACTACAAATACATTGCTCAGGGAGAACAAGTTACTGGTATGTCCTGAATGTTCTAAAAAGGCTTACAAGAAAAGTCATCTACATTATGATTCTCTTTCTCCCTATGTGATATTTTCTTGGAATTTGATCTGAGTTTGGAATGAGGAAAAAGGGAAAGAGATGGTAGAAATGCTGCTTTTGCAGTACAATCAACAATCACTTCACCTTCCACCCCAGACTCTTTTAAGAGTTTAAACACAGACCATGCAGAGAACATCAAGGGGCCAAGGGTATGGACAGGGCAAGACATACACATGCAAGAGAAGCAGAAAAGAAAGTGAGGTGGCCACCCCACTTTCTTGGGACTAGGAGTACTTCTTTTCTTACCCAAGACTCTCACAGACATGGATTTTTCTTGCCTGACGTATGTACTTACTCTTTCTAAGTCTAGAATCATTTGAGAGGGAAACAGCCATGAAACCCTTCCAGAGATGTCCGCTATCAACCAGACATTTAATATCAGTCACCATGGCCATGGTCTAAGTTTTGTCTCTGCATCCAATAGGAAGCAAAAAAAAAAAAAAACCCCTCCAGGGTACCAGGAAGCTTATGGTTACTATCTTCTGTAGCCCTCATAACATAATTATTTTATTTCACTAAGTCTATCTTTCCAGAGATCATAGCTAAAGGTGGCAGCAGCCTTAAGGTACCATGCAAAAAAAATAAAGTGGTCAAAGGAAGAAAGCTGTAGACACAAGCATGAGGAATCTAGTCTGAGATGAGCAGCACACAGAAACAGAAAACATTTTCCAACCCACAGTTCCAGAGCCCCCTTGAAAGATGGACGTACTTAGCTTCCTCCACTACCTCCACCTCAGCATGAGCTGTGATTGGTGCATTCGAATGGTCTCCAGCGGGGTCATCCACGTTCAGCTCTCCATTGGTTGAACTAACCACCTGAAACAGAAAGGTAGACTGTGACAAGCACCAAGGCAACATGAGGTTCCTGCCAGGGGTAGGGCAGGTCACTAAGGGGGATCTGATCTCAAGCTTAGATACTAGCCAGTCAGGGTCAGGAATGTTTGTTTTCCTGCCCTCAGGGGCCTGTTGTCCTAATTTAGAGCAAGATCCCATCATAGAATGATGACAGTAACTTCCACAATGAGTACCTACTTTCTGTCAGGCACTATGATACACTAGCTCCATGTGTATAAATTTAAAGCTCAAAACCTTATGAAGAGGTCATTTTTTTCACTTTTTTATTATTAGTTATTTTATTCATTTGATTTATGATTAGGTATTCTTAGCCACTCCTGAGAAGTTTAGGAGTAGCTCTTAGGCTGGGATTGCCTGAAGTTCCATCTGTCTATAGGGGACAGTTGTCCTATGAATGACATTTCCACCTTTTTTAATCCTATTACTTTCTTTTAATGGATGGAAGCACTAAGAAATGACTTAACCAAGAGTTGTCATTGTAGATTTACAGGATAGAAATTTGTTCTAAACTGATTTTTTTTTTACATATTACAAAAATGCAATAGTGTTTTATTAAATTGAAAATTAAAATGCAACTGCATAGTTGTCATATTTTCCTTTTTGTTTGAATCCAGTCTCACTATATAGCCCAAGCTGGCCTCAAACTGATTACATAGCCCAGGATGGCCTTTAACCTGCTGTTCTCCTGTGTCACCACCTGTGTCCTGGGACTGCAGGCACAAACCACAATGTTTGGTGTCACAGCTGACTTAAACTCATTCTATTCTCTTGAACATAGTGGATAAATTCTACTCCTTTCAATTTAGAAGTTCATAGATTCAGTAATTATGAACTTTAAAAAAAATTCTGAAAAGGAAACCAAGAGTAGGCATCAGAGATAATAAACAATCACACTTTCCTTTGAAATTTCTTCATAGCTTTTGACCACTGGTTTGAAGTTATTTAACAAGACTGGCTTGTCCTCTCTGGCGAGAGGGAAGATGGTAAGGAAACACTTTCCCTTGGAAAGCCAGTCTTATTTCAACGACTTTTATTTCAGGTTCAATGTCATCCCACTCCTCACTGATGGTCCCCGGACTGTAAATGGAAGCTCTCACTCCTGTCATCTGGTTAATGTGGACCCGATCAGGCTTCTCTTGCTGGTGCAGCTGCTTCTGCCACTTGGTTTCATTTCCAGCACATGATTCCTGTTTATGTGGGTGCTGGGGAGTGGGAAAAGGGACCCCGCTGGACAAACCATTCTGCTGTTAAAGATCTTGGCTGAAACATGGGAGAGAACCACAAAATAGGATAAATGGTTCGAATGTCGTAAGCCCTTGGGTAAATAACTTCTATTTGAGATTGTTCTTACAAGTTGAAAGAATTATATAAAAAATGTATAGGACAGTATTGAATATAATATACCTGGTATATAATAATGGAGGTGGCAAGATATAGCAAATAAGAACTGGGCTCCAGAATTAGTCAGCTCTGGGTCTGAACCTCATTCCCACCACTTACTTGCTGTGGGTCCTTGGGCAAAGTCCACAATCTTTCTATGCCTGAGTTTCCTAGTCTGTAAAATGGGACAATGCTGTTTACCTACTGGAGTTGCAGTACAAATAATGCACAAAAAAATGCCTATCCAGGGCTATGATATGTCATGATGTATGGTAATAGCTCCATAAATGTTTATCTCATTGTTAATCACGGGCTACAATTGGTGTGTGTTTGTATGTGTGTAGATGGGCTAGTACTAGGGCTTGAACTCAGAGCCTTTCTCCCTTAACTTTTTTTGCTCACAGCTCCACAGCTTAAACTACTTACTCACTTCTGGCTTCTTGCTTGTTAACTGGAAATAAGAATTTCTTGCATTTGTCTACTTTTGCTGTTTTTTTTCGTTTTTGTCATTCATGGGGCTTGAACTCTGGGCCTGGGTGCTGTCCCTCAGCTCTTCAGCACAAGGCTAGTGCTCTACCACTTGGGCCACAGCGCCATTTCCGGTTTTCTGGTGGTTAATTGAAGATAAGAGTCTCATGGACCTTCCTGCCTGGGCTGACTTTGAACCACGATTCTCAGATCTCAGCCTCCTGAGTAGCTAGGATTATAGTGTGAATCACCAGTGCCTGACTTTACAAATATTTATTCTTATCTGTCTCTAGTTTTGGTGTCCTTACTAGCAGCTAATTTGCATACATTCCTCAACAATCATAGAGGGAGGTGGGAGAACTGTTTAGTACATATAGTCTTTGCAAGAGATGGTGAATACTACCTACCAGCAATTTACAGCCGCCATGTTTTAAATTAGAATAACTATGGTTCTTTTTTTGGGGGGGGGTCGGTTGTGGGGCCTGAACTTGGGGCCTGGGCACTGTCTCTCAGCTCTTCAGATCAAGGCTAGCACTCTACCACTTGAGCTACAGTGCCACTTCTGGCCTTTTCTACTTATGTGCTGCTGAGGAATCGAACCCAGGGCCTCATGCATGCAAGGCAAGCGCTCTACCACTGAGCCACCTTCCCAACCCAACTATGGTTCTTATTAAGAACATAAATTAGAAAAATTTTTAAATAATACTGTGTGGTCAGCAGAAAATATCTACATTATTAAATCTGGATTGGTTAAAGGAAGAGCTAAACTTCTCTAAGTCAAAGTTAGTATCTGATTTGTAAGAAACCCGACTTTTATCTTTTTTTATTGTTTAATGTACCATACATCATGATCCATATTCACAAAATGTAGAGCCCATCCTGACCTTATCTTGACATAATAAATACTATACAAAATAGTATTCTCCTTCTGCAATAAAAAGGTTTCCTGCCAAGTACCACTGGCTCATGCCTGTAATCCTAGCTACTTAGAAGGCTGAGTTCTGAGGATCATGGTTCACAGCCTGCCTGGGCAGGAAAGTCTCCAATTAACCACCTAAAAACTAGAAGTGGAGCTGTAGCTTAAGTGGTAGAGCACTAGCCTTGAGCAAAAAAACCTCAGAGACAGTGCCCAGGTCCTGAGTTCAGGCTGCAGAACTGACATTAAAAAAAAGGAAAAATAAGAAAAGTTTTCTTATTAATCTAATCATTATTTGAAAAATTAGACAAAAAAGTGTAGGATATCCTATAGGACTTCTAGAAATGACACTTCAAAAAAGACTCATAGTTTTTTTTTTTTTTTTTGGTGTCAGTAATGGGGCTTCGTCCCTGAGCTCTTTTGTTCAAGGTAAGTGCTCTACCACTTGGGTCACAGCTCCACTTCCAGCTTTTTGGTGGCTAATTGGAGATAAAGAGTCTCACTGACTTTCCTGCCTGGGCTATAATTACTATGAACACATTTTATACCACTATTCTAGCTATATTACACAAGCTCATATGGGTAATCCAGGAGAAAGATTAAGTACTACTTTGATTTTTACTCCTTAAATTTGGTAATATTCCTTGTAGGAATTTCAAAACTTTAAGTTACATGTCCTATTTTCCAAAATGTCAAAGCAGGAAAAAAATCAGAGCTGTGTACCAAAGTCATTCCTTGGTCCTAGACTTTTTTTTTTTTTTTGTCGGTTGTGGGGCCTGAACTCTGGGCATGGGTGATGTCCCTCAGCTCTTCAGCTCAAGGCTAGTGCTCTACCACTTGAGCCACAGCCCTACTTCTGGCTTTTTCTGCTTATGTGGTGCTGAGGAATAGAACCCAAGGCCTCATGCATGCAAGGCAAGCGCTCTACCACTGAGCCACCTTCCCATCTCCTCTTATGTATTTTAATATAAACAACTTCAGAATAACTTTTTTTTTTTTGGTCGGTCATGGGGCTTGAACTCTGGGCCTGGGCACTGTCCCTCAGCTCTTCAGCTCAAAGCTAGTGCTCTACCACTTGAACCACAGAACCATTTCCGGTTTTCTGGTGATTAATTGGAGATAAGAGTCTCACAGACTTTCCTACCCAGGCTGGCTTTAAACTGCAATACTCAGATTTCAGCCTCCTGAGTAGCTAGGATTACAGGCATGAGCTATTGGCGCCCAGCCAGAGTAATCTTTGGAAAAGAAAAATAGTATTGTCTTCTTTTTCTTTCTTCCTTCCTTTTTTTTTTTTTGGCCAGTCCTGGGGCTTGAACTCAGGGCCTGGACTCTGTCCCTGAGCCTCTCTGTGCTCAAGGCTAGCTAGTGCTCAAGGCTAGTGGCTCTATACTTGAGCTACACTGCCACTTCTGGCTTTTTTCTGTTATGTGATACTGAAGAATCAAACCCAGGGTTTCATGCATGCTAGACAAGCACTCTACCACTAAACCACATTCCCAGGCCAGTATTTTCTTCTTGAATTTAGGTTTTCCACACAAAAGAGATTTGTAGAAATACTAGGATGGGAATGAGATGGGTATTCCCCATTAAGAAGATTAGAACAAGCTGGGCACTGGTGGCTCACGCCTGTAATCCTAGCTACTCAGGAGGCTGAGATCTGAGGATCGCGGTTCAAAGCCAGCCCGGGCAGGAGAGACTGTGAGACTCCTATCTCCAATAAACCACCAGAAAACTGGAAGTGGTGCTGTAGCTCAAGTGGTAGAGTGCTCGCCTTG